TTATTTTTTGGAATAAGGCGGGGGGGGGGGGGGGGAAGACAGGCTTTAGTCTTATATTCTCATTCTAAAGAGACCCATGCGTTTGCCTAATTCTACACATGGCAAGTAGTCTTACTAACATGAATGGGATGACGCACAGAATGTAACATTAAGTATAGGCATAAGTCTTCGCAAGTTCTATTAGCTAATCTAAGATATTTACATAACTCCCATTGCCCTAGTACCTCACTTCTCCCCCTCCCCCCAAAATGTACTTATGTACTCCATATGCCTGTGAGATAGGGAAATATCTTCATTTTACACGGAAATATCTTCATTTTACAGATGAAAAAGTGACACAGAGAAAAAGAGAAAGCGAGAAAGTGACTTTGCTCCAGGTCACAACACAGGAAGCCTGAAGAGGAGACAAACTGAATGTGGGTCTCCTGAATGCTTTCGCCACCGCCACTCTTCTGTATAGTTATATCTAATACCTGTATGATTAATAATAGAAAATCTATTATATCTGATACAGCAATATTGAACATTATGTCAGTTGATCAGAAACTGGAATCTGCAGAGGGTACCGTATATTCCGGCATACAAGACGACTTTTGATGTTAAAAAACATCCCCCAAAAATCGGGGGTCGTCTTGTACGCCGGGCATACATCCCAGGCGTGCCTGGGATGCCCCCCCCGCCGGCTTCCCCCGAGGCTTTGAGGATCCTACTTCTACTTCGCGGATTTTCATCTATCGCGGTAGGGTTTGGAACCTATCTACCGCGATAAACGAGGGTTCACTGTATTGACAATCTTTATTTGGAACAAAAATGATCCAGAGATACATGAAGCTGATTTTTATCAATGCAACAATTAGTGCATGTGAAGTCAATATTATGTAAATAAATATCTGTCTGAACAAAAAGGAAGAATTTTAGAAGACTTTGATAAATATTATAATTAGAATTTATTTTGACAAATTACTATGTTTTCTTATTAAGGATATTTGCATATAAATAGGGGACTTTCTGATCTGGCTATGTATGTCCCTATCTGAAGCTCTAAGTCGTTTTGTGGGAAATGATTTAGCAGTGATTGAATGTGCTAAGCTCACAGAAGATTATGACTTTCAGAAAATTCTGATAAGAAAAAATCTTGTCAGCCACATCTGTTTAAGAAAAAAACCCAGAAAATACAGTTTACAGTACACAGTGTACTGTAAACAACACACTCTTTGGATGGCTGCCCCAAGGTTCACAACCATCTCTCCAACTTTAATGCACACCAAACAGCTCCATACAAACAACAACCACCTGAAAATGGTCCAGCTATCACTTGCATTCTCCCATATCAGACTACAGGTTGTACCACTCTAAAGTAGGTCTCTGTGGTTCTGCCAGACCATGAATACAGGCAGTCCCCGGGTTACGTACAAGATAGGGACTGTAGGTTTGTTCTTAAGTTGAATCTGTATGTAAGTCGGAATTGGCGTCCAGATTCAGCCGCTGCTGAAACTGACCAGTTTCAACAGTGGCTGAATCTGGACGCCAGTTCTGACTTACATACAGATTCAACTTAAGAACCCCAGGCGTCCCCCAGACACGCGCCGCGTGC